GTTATACGAGCCTGTTTAAATGTTGAGGGAAAAACACCAGTGTGATGGGATGTGCTAACGATGTGAGTGAGTACAACGGCAGGAGAAATGGCTTGAAGGAGATGAGATGGAATAGGATCAAGCGGACAAGTAGGAAAGGATGATTGGAAAGCATGAGTTTAGAGACTTCTGCCTCAGAGAGTGGAGAGAAGGATGAAAATGAGTGTATGTTTGCTGGTAAGATGTGTTTGACAGTTTGTGGTGTGGCAAATTGTGCCCTGAGGTTTGTAATTTTATTAATGAAGAATGTGAATGTTTTATAGGATTTTACAGCTCATATAGTATGATATAGTGAGAATATGGAGGAAAACACACTCAGTTTTATCCAGAGGCCCAAAATTAGCAAAAAAAATGCAATTTGGTGCAGATGCTGATATTTATATGGACAAAAAGTGATGAAATTATGATGCTTGTAATGTAAATCAATGAGATTTTTATAACATTATACCAGATACTTACATAAAATGATATAAATATCAGCCGTTGCTCTATATCTCCAGTAATATGTATTAGTAAGATGATATTTCAAAGATCCAAACATATAATGCGATGCAATCCAGTGCTGATTGAGAGCTGAAGAAATAAAGGCTCCTCAGAAGATGTGAGATGTTCTGGAGGCTTGTGAAGATCATTCCTCCGCTGAGGAACAGTGAAAGTAAAGCTTCTGGAAACAAACGCTCCTCAAAAGATCCTGAGGATCAGATTTGAGACTCTAAAACATGATTGATGGAGAATCAAGTAAAGCCCAGCTTCTTCAGTCCAGTAAGTGTTCATCTGGAGATATTACTGCAGTTATTCTGACCTTTACTTGATCAAAATCAGTAGATTTGACGCGTGAAGCACGAGCTGAAGCTGGACGTTTGTACAATTACACTAAAAGAGCTTTGACTGGACAAAAAAACTCTAAACTATCAATCAGACGACAGAAGGCATGGAGTAGATTGTGTGCAACAGGTTTCACAGCAACATTTTGAACATCTTAATCATTTAGAGGCCTTAGAAATTTTCGTGTCAGTTATGAAACAGGCTTTATAATGTTATGGGATTTAGATAATGGTTGGTTTTGTTCTTTCAGGCAAAATTAATTATTGTGGTTAAAAATGAATTATATTGTGATTAGGATTTTGGTTAATAATTATATCATTGGATCATTGGTATCACTGGATTTATATCATGGATAGACAGAATATATCTACTTATTATTATTATTATTTTTGTCCTTTCGAAGTTTGACATTATAAATAACCTAATTTGGTTTTGCATGGAAGAAAGAAAATAAGAGACTGACCAGATCTGAGAGTGAGCAAAACATCACTAAATGTTTATCTTTAGATGAACTGTTCCTTTGACCATGTGATCGACTGCATTACCTGAAGCTGAAGCTGGAGTTGGTGAAGTACGGTGGACTGTCAAAGTCTCTGAGATTCAGGCAGCTTCTGACGTCGTTCATGGTTGGTAAAGCCACGTTAGTGCTCTCCATGACTCCTCTGTGCAGAGATCCCTCGCTGGTCCCGTTACACAAGGTCACCAGACGATTATACTCATCCAGACTGAAAGGAAAAGATGTTACATGCTGGCATGATTCTGGATCAGCGTGAGCAGCAGGAGCGATGTAGTAGTTTTTGAGTAACTGGAGACGGAGGGTGTGTCTCATTCTGCTCCTTAGTTCAGTAGTAAGTGCACTACTCAGGGAGTCACTCATGTTTTGACCTGATCCCATTGTCAAAATACTGGTGCATTGAAAAGATTGTTCTCTAGTTCCCTAAAAAAACAAGTCGTGGAAAGACAAGTCCAATGTCAGTTTGTGAAGATTAAATCTTAAAAAGTGAATTGTTGTTGGATGATATTATATTTGTTAATTTATGTATGTTCTGCAATTGTTATATTTATATAGTAATTTGTTTCTTTCTATATTAATTTATAGTCTGAAAGCCATTATGTATAATTGGTTTAAAGCATATTTCAACTTATTAATGTCACAGTTTTTATTAGATTGAGGCCCTTGCTAATTCAAATTCATAATAATACAAATGAATCTTCCTGATGTACTACAGTGTTGTTATTGTTAACGTAAACTATTTAAAAATCATTTTCAGTAATTGAAATAAAGCTGAAATAAAATATAAATGTTAAATGAAAAAAAAAGTGGAATTAAATGTTGCTTTGGACAGGGTTATTATAGTTCAATAATAATTGAAAAAAAAATCATTATTTGAAATGAAATAACTTTTACCTAAAATAAAAGCAAATATTAAAAAATCAAACTTATTTTATTTCAGCTAGTTTCCGAAGCAACATTTCTCATTTCCATTTAGTTTACCTTGATGTACTAAAATAATTAAAAGTAAATCTGAAATAAAAATTACAACTACATAAACATTTAAAAACAACAAAAACTAATATAGATTACAAAAACAGACAATGAAACAAAAACGAACTAAAATTACAATGAAAGCAGAACATCTAAAAATCAAATCTAATTAAGAAATTAACAAAAACTATAATAGTATCTCAATGATACTAAATTTGCAACTAAATTACTAAAGTAAATTAATGCTAATGTACAAATTGATCTTCCCGATGTACTACAGTTTTGTTATTTTTAACTGAAACTATTAAAAATATAATTTTCAATAACTCAAATATATACTGAAAAATCTATATATTTCAAATGTAAAGATTAGATGAAAATTTAAATTAAAAAAACCTGTTGCAATAAATGTCACTAAAATACATTTAAAGTACTAAAATTACGAAAATTTAAACAGGAAAAAAGAAGTTAAATAGAAATATTTGAAAACAAAAA